ATACCCTTTTAAGACATTATGATTTGATAAAATGTTGAGTAACTGTTTGTTAATAAGCTTAACCAATGCTTTATGAGAACATTCTAACCAAGTGATAGGTCATGTATTATTAAGATTATATTCCCAAGGTTTGGGTTTGGGGATAGGATATATGTAAGCTAGGTTCCAATGATCTGGAGTAAGAGAGAGATTAAAACATTCGCAAATAAAGATCCAGAATACTTTTTTCATCCTAGGACCAAGGTGTCTCAACATTTCATTAGAAATTTTGAAAGGACCAGGAGCTTTGTCTAAAGGAAGAGCCAAGATGATATTATACCACTTGTCTTCAGTTGGGTGTATCATGAGATCGTTATAAATATTGGGATCAATGTCAGCCAAGGGAGAATACCACTGTGTCCAGTCATCTGGGATAGTTTCATCATGATGGTAAGTGTCAGTAACTCTTTGAAAATGGCGAGCTGTCTCACGTTTGACGTCACCTTCGGAGGTGAGAAGACCTAAGTTTTGAGTCGAGTTGTCCAGACATCTATCTGCCTTTCTCTATTAAGAAGTGAATCATACATTTTCGTCTGATTATCGCGAAAGTTGTTACATCGTTGTTCTAAGGCGTTTTTGATAGTTTGAGCTTTATGATCATCTTCTTTGGACTTAGCTGAAACAGTCAAGCTTGAGATAAGTACTTTAATTTGGGGAATAATAGATCGTATGGTAGATAGTACAATGTCTGACTAGTGACCGGTGGAAGGGTAATGGCAAATTGTGCTGAGAAACCAGATGCTTTATCATACAAGGAGACCCAGGTTGGTGAAATATTTCCAGAATGTAAAGCTTTTTTTGAGAGTTTTTCAAGTTTTTGAACAGTTAATAATTGCTGGTAAACTTTTTTAAGTGTTTTAGGCCTCAGGTCACATGCATGTTGTGAAGAGTGGTGAATAGGGAGGGATAAACTTCTCCGCTGCTTTTATAATACAACCTTAGATTAAATCCTAGTAAAAATTTAAGGCGTGTTTGGATTTCAGTTTGGTTTTATCCAAGTTGGCGAGCTGACAGGAAGAGAGTAGCGCATCTGTTTTGTTAGCAAAATTCATCCAATCATTGTCATAGTGAAAGGATATCTTCTTAGCTGAAGCTTTGTTGGTCTGAGAAACTAATTCTGAAATATAAAAGGAGGTTGTTGCAATATTATGATCTGTGAAATCTTCATCAACAGCAATTACTGTGGCTGTATGTATATCTATCGCCAATCTATCTGAACAATAAATGTGGTTAATCCTAGATGGGGTAAGGCATATTTTGTTGTTAAAAGTAGGAAATATTGCATTAGCATCATCAAATAAAAGGTCAAAAGTATTGTATATATTATCATTATTCAATTGCTCAAAAAATTTATTTGAGTTTGAAGGATTGTTAGCCCGAGAAGGAACTGCATTAAAGTCTCCTAGTAGGATAACTTGCATGTAGTCCAGTTTGGCTTGGTTGAGTAATTTGGTGATGGCAACATAAGTCTTATTACGGAGTGTGGTATCTGAACTTGAGATATAGGCATTGACTATATTTATTGCGGAATTGTAAATATATATAGATATATCATCCAAAATCACCTTGGCAATTGTACATGTGATCTGCAAATTGTTTTTTTATAATAAGTCTGATTTCAAAGCCAGATTTTTGTGCGGATTGATTATGATTTAAAAATATTTGGTAATTTGAATTAATAATTCGTTTTAAAGATTTAGATTGCGAATTGTTAAGGTCAGTTTCTTGTATTCCAATAATATCCAAGAATAAATTTGCATGAACATTTGTTGTTTTGTTGGATTGGTGAAAGAACGAACGTTATGTGTGGCAGTTTTTAAAATTCGATTAATTGTATTATGATTAGAAGGGGGATTCAAAGTATTTTCATTGTTATTATTATTTGTACTAATCATTTTTAAAGAAATTTAGGTTGGGTGGGGGATCATACTTATTATCATTGAAGTAATCTGAAAGTGCCAGCTTAATTAGTTCTGCGATGTTAATTAAACGATTTTCTTGAAGGAGCTCATGGTGGACAAGTAATCTTTGCATTTGGGCTACAGCAACAAGGGCATTGTTGAGTTTTCATAGTTATCACTTAAGTTACTCTTAAGAATGGAATTTTCAAGTTGTAATTCAGTAACTTGGGATTCTTGTTGTCGAACAATGGATTTGGAGATATCAATTCCTGCAGTAACAACTTCATTATCCTCTTCCTCCATGTCATCAAGGGGATTTTTATATTTATTATTATTGATGATGTCTGCCTGTTCAGGGGAAATAGATGTGATATTGAGAACAGTTTCGATGGTATTCACTCTCGTAAGTGTAAAACCAAGTTGGTTTTGAATGTCAGCAAGTTGTTGAGAAATGTTGACCAGTTGAGTTGAAATGCTGTCAAGAGATGGTTGATATTTATTATCATGACGACAGGACAATTCTGCTTCAGTTTCATCAGCCCATGACTTGTTAGCATGAATACTATCATTTAGAGTGTTTCCTACAGACGGTTTATTCTTAGGAAGAGGTGAAGGGGCATTAAGGCCATTCTGTCCAGATACATTTTGTTGACTAATGCCTATTATTGTGATCAGTTGGATTTTTAGGAGGGGGATTTGTAGGTGTGGGTTTGACTTTTGTAACTGGGGCTGAATAGTTCTTAAATTGGGCAGGTTGGTATCGTTGATACAGATTTTGTAGTTGATGATCTTTTGGGGTAGAACGTTTTCGTCTACAATTTTGGGACAAATGACCAGGAGCAGAGTAGATAAAACAGAGCATTTGGTTTGGGTCAGTCCAAACAAGTCGTTTTCTACCTAAGTAGAGCGAGTCACCATTCTTTACATAATCTAATGTCTCTTGATCAGAAAAATATTGAAGATTCCTATATGAAGCCTTTGATTTAGGATCAACCCAGGCTATGGTATGAATAGCATGGCCAATTTCTTGTAGATGTCGTCAATTAGTGTCAACAGCAGTGTATAAAATCTAAGTTAAAATTTATGTGCACAAATTGATTAATTATTACTAAAATAAGAAAATCATAACA